AACCAAGGCACACTATGTAGCCGCTGCCGGCAGGCCAGCCTTTGAGTCCGGAGGACCCCAGCCCTGTTGCCCTTCCTCATCTACAGATCCCCTTTGCACCTCTAGCTTCTCACAGTCATAACACCAGTTATCAAAAATCTGATAACCATCCAATGACAAGATGAGCAAACAGAAGCCCAGAGAGGCAGAGGGGCCTCCCAGAGTCACACAGCTACAGGTTCCTGATTCTCAGTCCCAAATAGACTTGGCTCCGAGTGCACTGGAAACAGGCATTTAACATAGCAACAGCCACCGTCCATTCCTCAGTGGGCTCGAATGAGACACACATCCAACAGGTTATGTCTCCTCTATTTGAGAAGATAGAGAAATGCTTAAGGAAAAGTGGGAATTGTCCCTGAAAAACGTTTAAAACATTTTTGTCTTTAAAGGAATAACCCTTAGCAAGCAAGAAAACTGGCTTTCCATAAAGAACTAATTTTCTGGGGTTTTACTGATTTGGGATTTTAATAGTTGAAGTTTTGTTTCATTCACAAACCATCTTTTCAGATGAGAGGATCCCTCTGAGGGCAAAGAAGGACCCTGCTAGCCATTTGGTAGTTATGTGGGAATTAGAAGAAGTGTCATTTCCTCAACCCATTTGCTTCCATCTATCAAAACAGTGATATATACTGATTTTATTAGATGGAAGCATTCAACTGCCATCTGCCAGGAGATTGTCAGGATAAATATCACAAGTCTATGGTGCCTACGAGGTGAATAGTGCCCCAATATTGTTGACTGCTGCAAAATAGATTACTCAAAAATTTAGCAACTTAAAACTTAGAAAGAATAAACATTTCTGTGGGTCAGAAATTCACAAGCAGCTCAGCTAAGTGGTTTGGTTCCCTGTCTTCCATGCAGCTGCAGTCAGGGTGTCAGCAGGGCTGTTGTCATCCCAAGGCCTGCCCGGGGCTCATGTGCTCTGGGGTCGGTGGACCTCTCCATAGGGCTGCTTGAACGTCCTCATGATATGGCAGCTGGCTTCCCCAGGATGACCTCATCTTTTATGACCTAATCTCGGAAGTCATTTGCCATCACTTTCACAAATCTCATTGGTTACACAGATTAGCCCTATTCACATGGGAGAGGATCACACAAGGACATGAATTCTTACCATCATGAAGGGGGTGCATCTTTGAGTCTGCCACCCCCCTTATATGTGGTGCCACTGCAGGGTGAACCACCTGCACCACCATAATTTCAGTGCTGCTGAGCCCATGCCAGAGACCTGCACTGCCTGTGTGCCAGGACTGTGCTAAGCACTGTAATGACAGTCTGCCCTCAAGCAGCTTACAGTCTAGAAAAGATGCCGAGACACAAATAAAATTAGTTGTAGTATATGGCTGGATAAAATAAGTGACAGAAGTCATCAAGGGTTCATCACCAAGTGTTCTCTGTGGCACAGATGGTTGAGGCCTGTGGCCTGGGGCACCCTCCCTGGTCAAGAGAGAAGGAAGGAAGCCCTACACAGGACCTCAGTGGGGTCTAGGTAGGTGTGGTCCATCTAAGCCCCCTGGAGAAATGCAGAAGTGGAATGGTTTTTCAATAGACATGAACAAAGTTAAATGGCCATTTAGAGCTTGCCCCCTGGAACTAAAGTACCTTGGTGGGACTGCCCACTTTGCACGTGCTGTTCCCACAGCCTAGAACACTGTTCCCTACATCATCCCATGACTGGATTTGTCTCACCATCCATGCCTCAGCTCAAAGGACATTTCCTCAAGGAGGCCTTCCCTGACCACCCTGGGTAACATAGCGTACCCCCACTCAAACCCGAGGCTTCATGCACAGCTACCAATAGACAGATGATAGATAGAGCTGGGGTGGGGGAGATGTATTGATTGACTTAGGTTGTTCCCTATTATTTGGGGTTTTTAAATAAAACTTTTTATTTTAATGTAATTGAATTCATATGTAGTTTTAAGAAACAATATAGACATCTCATGTACCCTTTACCCAGTTTTCCCTAGTGGTAACATCTTTCAAAGCCATAGTATAACACCAGCCAAGATAGTGACATTGCTACAGTCAAGATACAGAACATGTCCATCATCAGGAGGATCCCTCATGTTGCCCTTTGCAGGCACACCCACCTCCTGCTTGTCCCCTCCCTCCTTTGCCACTAGCAACCACTCATCTCTTCTCTATTTCTGCAATTTTGTCACCTCAAGAATGTTATGTAAATGAAATTACACAGCATGTAATTTATTAACATTGGCCTTTTGCTCTGGAGTTTATCCAGTTTGTTTCTTAATGCATCAGTAGCTCATTCCCTTTTGACTGCTGACTAGTACTCCAAGCTGTGGCTATCCTACAACTTGACCATTCACCCAGGACATCTGGGTTCTTTCTAGTCATTGACCATTATGCCAAATCTGCTAGTGATATTTGTGTACAGGTTTTTGTGTGGACATAAGTTTTCATTTATCTGGGATAAATGCTCAAGAGTCTGCTTTCTGGGCCATGGTCATTACATATTTCATTTTTATTAATTAATTTATTTTTATTTTTATTTATTTTTTATTAAGATATCATTCATATAAACTCTTAGGAAGGTTTCACATGAAAAATAATGTGCTTACTACATTCACCCATATCATTATGTCCCCCGCATACCCCATTACAGTCACTGTCCATCAGTGTAGTAAGATGCCACAGATTCACTACTTGTCTTCTCTGTGCTACACTGTCTTCCCCATGACCCCCCACCCACACCATGGGTACTAATCATAATACCCCTCAATCCCCTTCTCCCTCCCTCCCCACCCACCCTCCACCACCCTTTCCCTTTGGTAACCACTAGTCTACATATTTCATTTTTTAAGAAACCACTAAATTGCTTTCCAGAGAGGCTGTGCCATTTTACATTCCCAACAGCAATGTATAAGTGATCTAGTTTTCCCATATCCTCGCCAACATTTGGTGTACCACTATTTGCTATTTTAACCATTCTGATAGGAGTGTAGTGATATCTCGTTGCTCTTTGGTGAATTTTGCTATATCTTCATCACGGTTGTTATGTCCCTGTAAGCTCTGTTAGAGCAAGGGCCTTCTTGGTCTGCTCTCTATGCATTCCCAGAGGCCAGAGCAATTCCTGGCCTGGGGAGAAACCCACTGACTATTTAGGAATGAGTGCATGGCTGGAAGGGTCTCTGGTCCTTTTAAAGATGAGAAGGTGGGGAAGCAGTGAGGCCTTCCTCTGGGAAACCCCCAAGCCCTGCACAGGTGGGATTGTTCAGGCTCTCTGTGATGGAGGAGGTATGGAGTTGGGGAGAGCCCAGCAACCTGCATGCCTCACTGGGTCCCCAGTGCCTCCAGACCCGACTCGGGGCACATATTATGGGCCTGCCACTTCTCACTCCTCCTCTCCCACTGCATCTGCCGTCCCAGGGCAGAAACATCCAGAAGATAAATGTGTGGAGCTCCCCAAAGCTCTGCCCACTGGGGCGCATGGCTTTTGGATTTTGTTTTTCTTTTTCTCCCCACTGTAATTGCACCAGAGAAAGGGCCAGAATTCATCCATGGGTCATGATCAGTCTTTGCCCTAAGTTGAAGCGCCCTCCATGCTGTGAGATAAAAATTTAGAAGGCCTGTCCAGGTTGAATCTGCTGATGTGGTATGAGTTCTGCTCCCTGAAGGGAGGTGCTTCCTGTTGTCCCCTGTCCAGCACCTTCCATCCTGGCGGCTCTAACTGGCAGCACCTCAGTTTAATATAGATTGCTAGGAATTTCAGAGGTATCTTTTCTCTGCAGGGGATGTTCCTCTGAGGGCAGCAGAATGCAGACATGATAAATTAACTAACAAGGCACTCAAATTTAATATTGAATTTAAATGATTTATAGGTGAATGGCTCATGGATATACACATATAGGATGTCAGTATTTAGCAGGAAAAAAAAATCAAGAATTGCAAATGAAGAGAAACTTCAGAAGTAAGATCAGAAAGCAAAACTTATGCCATAAGGCCCCCATTCCCTGACTGGAAATGTGCCCCCAAATTGGTTATAAGATTCCCGATACCTGTGTCAGTATACCAGGGCTGCCATAACGACATGCCACAAACTAGGTGGCTTAAACAACAGAAATTAATTTTCTCATGGTTCTGGAGGCTGGAAGTCCAAGATCAAGGTGTCAGCAGGGTTGGTTTCTCCTGGGCCTCTCTTTTTGTCTCATAAACGGCTGTCTTCTCCCTGTGTCTCCCCTCTGTGTGTGTGTGTCCTAATCTCCTTTTATAAGAACAGCAGTCAGATTAGATTAGAACCCACTCATATGAGCTCATTTTAACCATAATTACCTCTCTAAAGACAATTACTATCACATTGTTAGGTACTGGGTGCTGAGACTTCCACTGAATTTGAGAGAGACACGACTCAGCTCCTAAGAATAGCCAACAGTGGCAAAAAGTTAGTCTACTACAGAAGTCAAAGGATTTGTGAAATAAACCAAAGCATTTTACCAGCAGGAACCCTGAGTCATAAGACCCAAGGGTCAGTCCCCCTTTGGCCCTTGACCTGCAGATGCTGTGTGAGTAAGCGGTGAGTTTCATCATTCATGTGAATGGCTGTCCACCACTCATCCTAGCAGTCCAAAACTGCACATTAGCAAAGTAGAATTCGGTGAAATCATGCCCATGAGAAGCTCCCATTGCCTCTGCCAAGCAGCATACCAGCTGCCCAATGAGAAGCCTAACTCCAAGGGCCTCAGGGGTCCAGGGAAAGAGCCCAGAGGAACAGTGAAAAGCCACAATTTATAAGCAGGGCTCTGAATTGCAGGTGGGATTTGGAAAAGCTGAGAGGGAGGAGGGCTGGCTTTCTGGTGGAGGGAGAAGCCTTAAGCAGAGGCAGAAGTGGTATGGTCCCGCATGCCCACCAGCCTGGCCTGCCTGTCCAGAGCCCAGAGCTGGCTGTCCCCTCCTGGGACCATGCCTCTAACCCCAGTCTCCCTCTCTGTGTGTCCCTGCAGGGCTCTGGCTGAGAACATGGCCAATGGCATTGATGAGCTCATTGGCATTCCCTTCCCCAACCACAGCAGCGAGGTCCTGTGCAGCCTGAATGAGCAGCGGCATGACGGCCTGCTCTGCGACGTGCTCCTGGTGGTGCAGGAGCAGGAGTACCGCACCCACCGCTCCGTCCTGGCTGCCTGCAGCAAGTACTTCAAGAAACTCTTCACGGCTGGCACCTTGGCCAGCCAGCCCTACGTCTATGAGATCGACTTCGTGCAGCCTGAGGCTCTGGCCGCCATCCTGGAGTTCGCCTACACCTCCACGCTCACCATCACCGCCTCCAACGTCCAGCACATCCTCAATGCTGCCAGGATGCTGGAGATCCAGTGCATTGTGAATGTGTGCCTGGAGATCATGGAGCCTGGTGGGGGCGGGGGGGAGGAGGACAAGGAGGATGATGACGATGACGAGGATGACGAGGATGAGGAGGACGAAGAGGAGGAGGAGGAGGAGGAGGAAGAGGATGAGGATGATGACACGGAAGATTTTGCTGATCAAGAAACTCTGCCTGAGCCCCCGGACATGAACTGCCACCAGAGCCCCTCCGAGGCAGACCACCTCCCCGAGAAGGCCTTCTCAGAGCCGCCCCGAGCCTTCCCCAGCGCCTTCCCGGCCGGCAGCCCCGGCCCTCTGGGTGTGATCCGGGACTTCTCCATTGAGTCTCTGCTGAGGGAGAACCTGTGCCCCAAAGCCAGCATCCCTGACCGGAGACCTTCCTTATCTCCGTTTGCCCCAGACTTCTTCCCACACCTCTGGCCAGGGAACTTCGGGGCCTTTGCACAGCTGCCCGAGCAGCCCATGGACAGTGGGCCCCTAGACCTGGTCATCAAGCACAGGAAGATCAAGGAGGAGGAGAAGGAGGAGCTGCCCCCACCCCCACCACCGCCCTTCCCCAACGACTTCTTCAAGGACATGTTCCCAGACCTTCCTGGGGGGCCGCTGGGCCCCATCAAGGCGGAGAATGACTACGGTGCCTATCTCAACTTCCTGAGTGCCACCCACCTGGGGGGCCTCTTCCCACCCTGGCCTCTGGTAGAGGAGCGCAAGCTGAAGCCCAAGGCCTCCCAGCAGTGCCCCATCTGCCACAAAATCATTATGGGGGCCGGGAAGCTGCCGCGCCACATGAGGACCCACACGGGGGAGAAGCCATACATGTGCAACATCTGCGAGGTCCGCTTCACCAGGTGAGTCCCACAGCCCTCAGGCGGGGTCTTCAGGCTGCTGCAAGGGGGTCAGGGGCCACAGGGATGACAGCAGAGAGGGGTGCAGAGGGCTTGGAGGAACAGAGAGACCAGTTCAAGGGAGGCGCAACTGGGCCCCAAATGCCCATCAAGTTCATTGCTATATGGCCTGCTAGGTGTTACCTGGTGCAGTGATTTTCAAACCCTTTTGTAGGAGCTACACTATTTTCTTATATACCATGTTAGGTGGAAGACCAAGACATAATACAGGTCAGAACAGACCAGCTCTGTTAAAGCAGAATTGAGGGGCCTCTGCGCCTTGCTCGCTGGCTTCCCTCTCCCCTCCCCAACAGCAGAGCCACAGAAGCCGGTTGGAAACTCCCGTTGGCAGCAGCCCCTTTATTTTTTTTGCAGCATGTTCAGCTGACCAGAAGACTGTAGAGAGCCCTGTAAGCCCTTTCATCCTCTTTTGGGTCAGGCCTGAAAGTTGGGCTCTCTTTATGTTCTCCCCTTGACTCCCCATGTTAGCAAGAAGGTTATGCTTCACACTGTTACAAAATTTGAAATGTGATATTAATACATCATAAACCGTCTTTCATAGACTCCGTCCCATTCAGCAAGTATGTTATGTCCCTTCTCCTGCATGGCAACTTTTGTGTTCAAAACTGATTGGTGGGATGATGTGGGGTCAGATTTGCCCACTGCTAAGTTGTGATGGGCCTTGTTTGGAGAAAATATGGTCTGTTGGTGCTGTTGGTGGTCACTGGTGTGCGGCTGATCCTCCCAGCCATGTCCACAATGAGGAAAGTTCTGTGAGCGGCCTTGCACCAGGGCTTGGTCATTTCAGTGTGTCGGATGTGGACAGAGCCTAGTGGATACCACACACCACAGGATGGCAACCATGACTTACTAGACAAGGTCCTTTCCCCACATTGCCACAGTCCCCATCAAAGAATGCACCCAGAGAGACCCACACTTATGCCCACAGTGCTGCTGTTGCTTCACATCCCCTGGGAAATTTATCTTTGGGAGCTGCTGGGGGCTCGTTCTTTTCATTTTCCTCAGTGGGCCCAAAGCTTTGGCCTTTGAGGACAGAGTGCAGGTTGAAAGCACCAAATCGGGGCGATGCTTTTCAGAGGAAAAATAAGAGTAATGAGGACTACTCTGTTGGGTGGCTTGAAAACTCTATTTGAAATTTCCAGAGAAGAGTATCAGAAATATGTTCAGGTGAAAGTGGCATTGCTAAAATAGCTCTACAGGCAACTCCAGTGACTGCTTCAAAGGACAACACTGACACTGATTGTTTCCAAGGTGGCTGTGGGGTCCCTGCACAGCTTTTCTGTGAGGGAAACCCCAAAAAGAATCCCTCCCAGAGGCTTTGAGCTGCTGGTGGAGGGGACATCTCCAGGTGCAGGGTGCCCCCCTCCAGCTGGCAACACATGTCAGGGTGCTGTGCCCCTGGTCCTGCCGCAGAGCAGTGGAACCCGAAGTTCCCAAGAGTCACCTCCCCTCTGCTGTCCCTCACTGCTGGCCCTGCCCACCTCCCCCCTCCCTTACCCTGAATCCACCTCAGTCCCCCAGGTCCAGGCTAGAACACCTGAACAGGGCTTGGCTACAGCATGGGGGTAACAAGTGAGAGAAACTAGAGCCCAGTCTAATTCCTATGGTTTACTCATCTCCAGCCTGTGACTCCCAGCAACCCCCAACCCCACCCCTTCACCCATCCCCGGAATGGCTTCAAAGACTTGGGCGCCTGCTCTTCACAGGCCAGACCCAGCAAAGCCAGCCCCTGAGTCAGCCCAGAGTGCCCCCTCCTGCCATCCAGGGCCACCTCCCTAACTTCCCATGCCTGTCCCCTTCGCAGATGACTGATACTGGTACTGGATGTGCGTGTCAGAGTACCACCCAGCGAGCCTGCCCCACACCCCAGCCCCCGGCTCCCTTCCCGCCCCCTGGGCCTGCTCACACACAGCTTTCTGGGAGGGCCACGCCAGTCTGTGAGCCCTGGCCTTCCCTGGGGAGGTTTTGAACTTGGTCAGTCTCTGCAGAGAGCCTTCTGACCCTTCCGACACTAGTATGTTCTCCCGGTAGGCCCCCTGGTCTGGGCAGCAATGCTGGGTTGTATAGGAGGGTTGCATTCCAGAACCCTCCCTCCCAGCACATTCCCGATGATCACTAGGGTGGCCTCTGTGCCTGTAGCCTCACCACCCCTCCAGGCTAGACCAGCCCTGGGGCTGTTCCGGTCCAGTGTTTGCCCTGCCCTCCCTCCAATTTCCTCCTGCTCAGCAGAAAGACAGCCACCTGGGCCCCCAGTCCTGGCTCCAGCTGAAGCAGCTGCCTTCCCACTCCCATCAGCACTGCCCCCTCACTTGATTCCCACTGGGCTGTGACCCTCCTGAGAAAGATCAGAAAAGCTCTTGGGACCCCCTTTCCAGGAGCAGAGACACCTGGGAGAGGGGGTGGTTGGAGGTTTCCTGGCCTCCTCACGTAAGGGCCTTGATCCTTGCCAGGGGCTGTGGCTGTCCCTGTTGAACACCCCTGGGCCCCTCCCCATCGCGTTCTTCGGAATTGCTGGTTCCTTACTTCCCGCCTGCCCCTTCCCCAGACCTGCCTGCAGGGATTCTTTTTGGTCCCCTGGGTCATCCAGGTCAGGGTTTACTGTAACCCTGGAGCCAAGTCCCCTGCTGCCTTTCCAGGGAGACCTTTGTGGCTGACTTCTGGCAGCCACCACCCAGCCCAGCTTCCCTTTTTCCCCAACTGGAGGCATTTCAGCAGCCACCTCAAGCTGCAGCTGCTGCCTCTTTGGCTCGGAATTCCCAGACTCCCAGAATCCCAGCCGCTCCCTGGGACTGGGTCCCTGAACCTGCTGCCCTCAAGTCCTCCTCTTGGACGCTGTTTTCCTCTCCAGATTTCTGGAACCCGAATCTCCCCTTAATCACAGCTGAGCTTCTGCTCTCTAGCCAGGCTTCCTTTCCTCTCTCCTTGATGCTGACCCCACCTCCTGTCCCCTCTGGGGTGTCGGAGGGGCCTGCAATGTGGTGCAAGGGCCTGGAAGTCCTCCCAACAGCGCCCCTTCTACCCCTAGAGCCCCGCCTGCTGCTTTATCCCATGGTCCTCTGGGAACAGAGGCCGAGCTGCCCACTGTGGTGGTGTCCATTCCTTGGTGTCAGGACCCTCACCTCCAAGTAGGCTTCAGGTTTCGCTCAGTCCCACCAGTTGTCCCACTACTGGTTCCTCCAGATGCGAGACACCCTGGAGCCCCTGGCAAGGCCTCAAAACTGCAACCAAACTATGATTTCTTGGTCCGGGCTGACCCCTGCTAGCTCTGGTCACCCCATCATCACTTAACTCCAAGTCCCTCTGTCTAAGCCCAAGTGTGTTTACACATCCCTGTCCTAGTCCAAGGTCACCATTTTCTTCCTGAGAAAGGTTGGTCCTGCGCCAGCCACGAAGAGGGAGGCTCCTGCTGCAGCCGGTCCTGTTGGTCCCAATACCCTCCCTGTCGGGAGGCCTTTACCTTCTATTCCCAGAAGGTCTAGAAGCCAGGAACAAAAGTCAGGGTAGGGCTCTGCCAGACATTCCCCCTGGGATGGGGCCTGAAGAATGGGGAGCACGTAAGCCAGGGAAGACATGGAGTTTGTCCTCTCTGCATACAAGGGGAGTTGCCATAACTGGTGAGCACTTCCCTGCCCACCCAAACCACCGGGGGGCCCCCTAGTTGCCCCAACAGCAGCCATCATCACTGCCACCTGGGCCTGGGCCCCAAAGCTCTCAGATGACTCTTAATGCCTCCTAATTCCTGCCACATTGGTCCTTGAGTGCCGGCAGCCTGTCAGAGGAGCTCCTAACAAGCATGGCTGGGCGGTCGTCCCTCCTGTAGCCCCCACATCCCGCCCACAGCCTGGCCCTCAGAGGAGCTCCAGGCCCCTCTGGCAGGGCAGAAACTGAAAGGTTTGAGAAGCGGTCAGGCCCCACACAACAGTGGTCACACCCCAGCCTGGAAGAGGGTTACACATCTTTGCCCCCTGAGAAGCCACTCTCTGGCAAGCCGTGATCACACCAGTTTCCACAGGATCCTCTATCAATGTCCCATAAAGGCTGCAGCTTATAGTCTCCAACACCCTGCCTACTACAGCACAGGCAGATATTGCTCACCGCCTGTAGCCGACAGCTGTCTGCTTGCAAAGCAAGGCCAGGAGCCTGGCCACTGCTTGCTTTTTTTTTTTCCCTGTATTTTCCTTTTAGTCCCACTCCTGGCAGCTCTGGGGACCTTATTAAGATAATGTAATGCCATTAGCAGTGGCAGCAGGAAGAGAGTTTGTCTCAGACCATCAGGTTACCAAGAAGTCTGGGGGGTGGTGCTGGGAAAGCACTGTGCAGACTGGGAGCCTTCATGGAGCCCCCACAGCCCTTTCCTTCCACTTGGGATGAGCTCATAAGGACTGGCCCGTCGTCCTTCCCAGCACTGAGCTCTCTGGGCTAGAAGGGGGAATGCAAATCAAGGCTTGGGTGCATGTGACCTGGGTGGGCTCCCTGGCACAGGATAAAGGAATGAGATGGCAGAAAGGGGTTCAGGGTGGAAGAGGAGCATGTTGGATTTGGAGCTGGGGAGTTCTGAGAACTGGCCCTGCACAGCAGGTCATGTCAGTCAACAAACACACCACGAACACCATCTACCTTCATTGTTGTGCACTGTGTAGAAGCATCTGACAGGTTCTTATCAAAGCAAGTTCTAGAACCATCCATGCCCCATGCTGAATGAGAAGCAGCGCTTGGCACACAGGTGCTGCTAAACGCACTAATAGAGTGCTCATTAGTTCTTGGCAGACGGTGGCACCTGGGAAAGAGCACTGGAGTGCTGAGCAGGAACCCTAGGTTCAGGACCTAGTTCTGCCTCTAATGAGCTGTGTGACTTTGGCCAAGTCTCCCCAGCTCGGGGCTTCAGTTTCCCCCTGTGTAACATAAGAGGGTTGGAGCAGGGGCTCCCTAAGGTTGTTCCCAGCTTTATGAGTCCATTCAGATACTGCCTAAGATCAGGAAAGCTATGGACACATGATTGCACCTCTCGCTGCCTCCATTTCCTCATGAGAATGATGGAAACTGACTTCTCAGGCTTCAGTGAGGTCAGGCATAACTTCCTGGTGCGCAGCAAGCACCTGCTAATGAATAGCACTCAGAGGAATGCCCGAGAGCCGGGTCCCTTTCCTGCATCAGCCAGGAGCCAGTGCTCCTTGTCCATGAATTTGCTGCCTCAGGCATCAGCTCGCTGTCTAGACTCCTAGTAAGACAGGGCGACAGGAACAGGAACAGGGTGGTAGCTCTGCAGGCACGAGGGGCAGCTAAGGCAAAAGCACACCTCATGGCCCCCACCCTGTGTTATAACCCCAGTAGTTATCCATCTTATTACATAGTCACCATTTTGTGTGCATGTGGTGAGAGCATTTAAGATCTACTGTCTTAGCAACTTTCAAGTATTCAATACTGTATAGTTAACTGTGGTCACCAAGGGTCCCAGAACTTGTAAATGGAAGAGGTGAGCTGTAAGGAGCCTTGAGAGCCAGGCTAAGGGGTAAATGGGCACACAGGCCATTGGACAGGGGTAGCCGTGGGGGATTTTAAGCAGGACCCACAGCTCTCCAGCCAGATTCAGGCAGCCGCATTCACTCATCCTCCCGCCCACCCTGCTCCCCTCTCCATCCCACCTCCCAGGTGCCCACCAGCCTTCCTGTGAGCACAGCGGGAAGGGGTGGACCTGTCCTCTCAGGTCCTCACGCCCTCCTCCCTGCCAGGGTACACTGGATATCCTTTTCTCTCCTACCCCGCCCCTGGGGAACCAGTCCAAAAAGGAGATCCAGTGAGACCTCTAGTGGCCAGGGGATGCCAGGTGACCAGGACTACCTATGCTGTCCTGGGATTATACAGAGTGTGGTTTACATGTGGCCATTTTAGGGTGGACACCTGGGCTCCACATCTGTTCCAACCTCAAACCTGAGCCAAAAATTATAGCCAGACACACAAGCCATACCTGCAGGGAGGAAGTGGGAGACCAGACACAGCACTCCTTGGCCTGTGGGGCCTGGGCAGGAAGGATGTCCCTGAGAGTAATTCTTGCAGCTCAGCTGTGTCTACCTCAGCCAATTGGAAAGACTCGGACTGGTTGAGGCAGTGGTCCATCTTTAGGAACCCCACCCCTGTGATGTCAGTGTTCCTTCCCACTCCACCAGGAGGCATGTTGAATCTAGCTCACACAAACCCAGATTCTCTCCATCAGCCCTGGACAGTAGGAACGGCTGTCCGGTGCTAGGTGCACCTCCGGGCAGAGAGGTTAAGTAACTTGCCTAAGATCACTAATGTGCAAGGTCTGCAGCTGGAGCAGGGCCCCCCAGACCCTGGTGGGAGCCCCACCCCTACACTATACCTTACCCCTGAATAATACCACTTAAACCCCGAAAAGCTTTGTCCTACATCAGGCTGCATTCTTGTCACACCTGGCTCTTTTGTAAACCCTGGGATTTGTCTGTGAAGAGGATAGCCCCCACTTGGGATAAGAAACCACAGTGCAGGCTTGTACAAGGTGTGCCCGGCATCCATAGCCTGCCAGGTTAGTGTTGAGGACAGGCGGATCTCAACAGCCCAGAGGCTGGGACGGCACCAGAGGCTGGGCAAAAGCACAGGACAACGCAGAGGGAAGACCATTGCCTGGAAAGAGTGGGTGTGAGATTAAGATACAATCCAGTTTCAGAGGCCGCCGCTGCATCCCTGCACAGAGGAAAGACTTCTGGCTTGTGGGGACACGGGTCCCCCAGCAGGTCTATTTTTCCAGTCTATAAGACAGGCCTCTGGCAGAGTGGGAGCTTCCTTACTCTGAGCGTACATGTGAAAGGAGTTCTGGAGTGAAGAAGGCTTTTAGGACACTGTTCCTCTCCAGCCCGCTAATCCAGGTGAGCAGCCACACCTGTTTAGGGTGGGGCAGGGGTTGAAGGTAAATCCCTGCATGGGTCCCATTCCTGGGGTTGGACACCAGGGCAGTAGGGAGCCTTAGCAGGTTCTGGAGGAAGGGGTTGCCAAGGGGTTCCGTGGTCTGGTGTTGCACGTGGGGACTGACTCCCGGCTGTGCATTGCAGGCAGGACAAGCTGAAGATCCACATGCGGAAGCACACGGGGGAGCGGCCCTACCTGTGCATCCATTGCAACGCCAAGTTTGTGCACAACTACGACCTCAAGAACCACATGCGCATCCACACGGGCGTGCGGCCCTACCAGTGTGAGTTCTGCTACAAGAGCTTCACGCGCTCTGACCATCTGCACCGCCACATTAAGCGCCAGAGCTGCCGCATGGCACGGCCCCGGCGCGGCCGCAAGCCTGCCGCCTGGAGGGCCGCCAGCCTGCTCTTCGGGCCCGGCGGCGCGGGTGCTGAGAAAGCAGCCTTCGTGATGCCGCAGGCGCTGGGCGACGTGGGTGGCCACCTGGGTGGGGCAACCGTGTGCCTCCCGGGCCCCAGCCCTGCCAAGCACTTCCTGGCGGCGCCCAAGGGCGCGCTGAGCCTGCAGGAGCTAGAGCGGCAGTTCGAGGAGACACAGATGAAGCTGTTCGGGCGCGCCCAGCTGGAGGCCGAGAGGAACGCAGGGGGCCTGCTGGCCTTCGCGCTGGCCGAGAACGTGGCAGCAGCGCGGCCCTACTTCCCGCTGGCCGACCCCTGGGCCACGGGCCTGGCGGGCCTCCCGGGGCTCACCGGCCTCAACCATGTGGCCTCCATGTCTGAAGCCAACAACTAGGCTGGTCCTTGAAAACCCCAGTCCAGCAGCTCTGTCCCTCTCCCACTAGGCCAACCCTGCCCCACCCAAGGGGTCTGAGCTTTTTATTCAACATCACAGAGGAAAAAGGACAGAACAGTAGCAGCAGCCACGATATGTTCCAGGCCTGAGGCAGCCGAGCCGCCTCCCTTTTGCTGGTGTCCAAGACGGGCATCTCCATGCAAAGGGCCTGGAGTTCAGGGCCTGGCCTCTCCCTGACCTCTCCCTGATCTCTCTGGCTTTCACACAAACACTCATACAGGCCCAAGCCCCAGAGGAGGCCACAGGCTGGGTGCCCAAGAGCACTTTGGCGTGTGTGGAAGCTAGCTGGAGGGATGTGGCTTGGCCCAAGGCAGACCAGATGAAGCAGAGATGAGGGCAAGGGCCTGGGGGCACACACCCTGGTTAAGCCCCACCACCCTGTGGCAGAGTCCCTACAGACACTGCTCTGATGGGTCATTTTTCCTGTCTCCAACGGTCCTGGGATCCTTATGGGAAATGCCCTACTGGCAGGGAGGCCTCCTAGAGTCCAGAGCAAAGGTTTTGGAGTCCAGGCCCACTTTCCCTTCACTGTCCTGTGACGTTGGACAGGTCAGCCATCTGTACCCTGGTTTCACCCTGCTATGAAGGAGGGCTGGTGATTTAGTTACCCCTCTCCCACCCTCCCATGCATACATACAAACACACCTGTCCCTCCAAAGAGAACTGCTGAGAACATAGGAGCTTTGTATTCCTAAAGTCCCTGGAGAAACCGTCTATTTTACTGGATTTAGTTTTATCACATCCACCTTTATTTTAGCCCAGGTGAGAAATGTGTTCTAACTAAACAGGGGTGACAGAGAGCTGGGGTGAGGTTTGTCCACAGACCCCAGGCAGCTCTAGAGAACTCCAAATACCACCCTCCTTCCTAGGCAGGCCGCTGGGGCTGAGGGATGACTAGTTAGCATTTACCCCAATTCCACATGCCCCCTCCAATGCCGTAGGTCTCTTGGGACCTCTGGGGCCGACAAGAAGGGTCGGGGCCGCCTCTTAACACCTGGCAGCTGCCTCACTCCATTCTGATTCCTGGAAACAGACCTTACGTTTGCTTTTCAGAGCTGCAGGTTTCTCAGGGCTTTGGCACTGCTGGTGATCATCCCCTGCACTGTGTTTGAACACTCACAGCCTCTCCCGTGTCCCTCCAGGCGAGAAACTGGAGTGTTTGGCTCCCGTCAATGCAGGGAAGCAGAGCCTTGGCTCCAATGTGGGCTTGGAGGGCTCTGTGAGTTAGGCGTGTCCACACACCCTCCGTGGCCCTTGCGTTTGTAGCAGATCCTGAGAAGGAAGACAGCTCTGCTGGTCCAGTGCCTTCCTGATCTTCTCTCCCCTTTCCTGCCTTCCATCCCTTTTCCTGCTGAGTTTGCTTTTGTCTCAGAAGCCCAGAAGGGAGGGGAGTTCATGTGCATGGATTGCCCACAGCTGGAGTCCCCAGTCCAGGAGCTGTGGGCACAAAAGACTTCGGCTCTTCCCATTGCCTTGGCTTCTCCCTCAGCAAATACAAGAAACAAAAAGGCCTGAGAAGACCACAGACTCCGTCACTCTCCCAGCTCCACAGAGGAGACCCCTGACTCCACATACCACCAGATGCCGTGCCAGCCCGAGGGAACTGCTTCTGACACCCTCTTGTCTTCAGACGTCATTTGCCTCGGCAGCCACCTCTAAGATTCCTGTCTCTGTTTCTGACACTTGCTTCTAGGACTCCCCAGCCAACATGCCTGGTTTCCCCCATCAGCCAAGGGACTGGGACTGACCCAAACTTTAAAAGAAAGCAAGGGAAAATGAACAAATTGGGATCCAGTGGTGTTGGGGCTTTTGTTTTTATTTTGTAAAGGTAATGACTTCTTATAAACTCAATTTTTCAGATGACTGGTTAGTTCTTTTTGTGTTCTCTTGGCTGCAGCTTGGAGCTGTACACTGTAAAATGCCCAGAGATGCCGAGTCCTGTGTGATCGAGGAGAACATGAAGCAATTGGGTTGGAGGATAGGGGTGGTTGTTTGATTGCCATATATTTTTTTTCTGGATGTTTCAATTTCCCTGTCTGTCTGTGGGAGAACTTTGGAATTTTTTCTATTTATAACTCTTTTTTTTTATGTGATTGCTTTATGTAAAATGACACAACAAAGTTTGCCTTAGTGAATCAAGGGACAATCTTCCATAACTTTGGTCGCACGCCGCATCCCGCCGAGAAAAACTCTCAGCTAATTTTCTGGCCTATTTATTAAACAGTATCAATTGACTTGATTAAATTATATTGAGAGTTGCACTTGTGTGACAGCTGGGGAAAGAAGCCAGTCTGGAGATGTGCGTTGCTTTAAGTTTTGATGACACCTTCACAAAAGACACAAACCTTTGACCCTTATTTAATAATTTGAAGGACAATGTTTTGAGGAAAAGAAAGCTATGCTGGCTTAATTCCCTGGTTAAGATTGACATCCCCTGTCCAACTCGTATTTCAGGCATCAGTGGGTGGTTGAATGGTGGGAAAGCCAGGACTCAGTTCTTCAGTGGTCTCCTACATTTCAGCTGTATGAGGCACGGTGAGCCTAAGGGCAGGACTGTGTGTGTGTGCGTGTGTGTGTGCACGCGCGTGCTCATGCATGCACGCGCATGTGCGTGAGACAGGTACAGCCTGTGGTGTGTGAGCAAGGTAAAGTTGTGAGTTACTGACCATTTTAACACAGCCAATCCTACCAGTTCCCTGGCATGGCATCCAGAGTGGCCTCCAGTGGCCTGTCACCTTGGCCACCTTCTTCCTCTCATTTCCTGGTGGTGGAGTTGGACTTCTCTTCCTTTTTCACCTGGGCCTCCTTCCCGGGGGAGGAAGGAACACTAGATCCTGAAAGAGGTAAGGAAATACACTTCTGTCGCTAAATGGGGTCAGCTCTACTCAGAGCCCAGAGCAGAGACTCTCTGAGTGAAACCATTCTCTGAGCTGTGTCTTCTGGATAACCGAGGGTCCCCCCCAAGGCCCTTTTCTGTCCTCGATCCCCTTTCTTACTGTGGTTGGCATTCTTATAACCCAAGGACAGCATCTCTTGGTGCAGTGGAAAGAACAAGTCTGGGTTTCAAACAGACTCCTCCAAGCTGTGTGTCATCAGGCCAATCACTTCTCCACTCTGCTCCTCACTGTCCTGCCTCTAATAACAAAGTAGAATGAACATCGCAGCTTCTCAGAGTTTTCTGCCCAAACACCCCTCAACAGAGGGGACCAGTCAGTTGGGGGCCTGGGGACTGAACTCTAAAGAGCGAGCCTGAAACTACCTTCCCATAGTGTAAAACTCCTCTCAATTTGCAATTCATGCTTCTATGTCCTATCTCATAATACACTTGTCTTGTATAAAAATGTCATCTTCAACTACTTGTCAGTTATATTACTTGTCTTTTTCCAGGAATCTTCTAGTAAAGTCAGATTTTCTTTGGCTACCCTGCAGCTTTAAGGGTTGGGAGCTCAGGGCTAAGGGCTTGGAGGTCAGCATAGCCCCTTGCAAGGAATACAAGGCCAGCTACTTGACTCCATTCAGCCCAGGCATTCCAGGGTCACCAGTCCTCATTCTGCAAGCCAGTGTCCACTGAGGGCTCTAGGTGAGCACAGATAAGGGCTAGGGAAGCAGGCCCAATGTCCTGACCTCTGGGGGCTCCTGAACTCCTCAAATGAGTTTAATCTCCTCTAGTCCTGGCCAGGCGGGTGTTCTATGGAGCCCTGCTAGGTGCAGCCTACTGTCTCAAGCCCCAAGATGCTAAGGGAGATGGGGTGCCAACAACAGAGAAACCTGCAGTAGAGGGAAGGGGTGTGAAGGTAGGACAATGAGGCCACTGAAATGTGTGCATCTTCACCAGGAAAAGAAGGCTTGGAGGTAGAACAGGCCTTGAAATTTCTGAAGGTCTCTCAAATAAAGGAAACATTTTTAAAACAAGAGTTTGGCCAACTCAGACCAGTAGGAGAGAGATTCCACATGAAGGAAGATAACTTCAAACATCTGGAGCTGTCCTAGGAAGGAATGAGGTCCCTGACAAGGGAGTGAGCATTCAGTCATTGGAAGCCTTCAAAAATGCCAGAGAGAAGAGTCCTGCATGGAAGGAGAGCTTTCTAGGTGGTCTGCTCCTTGGGCCCCTTCTGTCTAATTCGTGCAAGGGCTAATGTGCATCCTGACATGGCCACAGAAGAGGGATGGTGCCAGGAAGAGTGGCTGACAAATGAAAAAGCTGAGTTGGGACCAGTTCACAAAACTCAACTTGGTGCCCAGGGCAGCCTGCTCCCTCTCCCCCCACCCAGTGACCACCCAGCAACTTGGAGCCAGAGAAACAGGACGCTGTGTAGACAAAGCCGTCACTTATGTTGGGTCCCTGATTATGGGACAGGAGAACAGTCATGAACCAACAGAAGTAAGACTGTCCCTCTCTTTGGCCTTCTTCCAACCCCAGGGCCTGGCCTCACAGAGGACAAGGCCTCCACCAGCAGAGGTCCAAGACACATCCTGACACACACCTGCGCAGCCCCACTCCTCCTCTCCCGGGACCCTGCCAACTCTTCCTCCCTGAGCTCCCTGCACCTCAGGCAGCCGGGCCTTTCCAAAAACAGGCACACCTGGGTGCTGGCCTTGTGTGCACTTTCCCTCCTGCAAGCCAGGTAGAGCCAGGGCTTCGGAAGGGAAAGCAGGAGAGCTGGCAGGGAGGCAGCAGGGCCACAAGCTCCCTGTCTGAAAAGCCTGTCACTCACCAGGAGTGACATGCAAGCAGAGGGTCAGAGGCACCCTGGCAAATTCAGGAATTGAAGATGTTTGTGTGCAGTGCCTCCCCCCACACCCACCAGGTGTCTCCATCTCCCCTTCTCCCAGTGCCACTTCCTACTCCAGCTGCCCTTCAAGATGTGGTGTTCTTTCTCTTCTCGACTCTGTCCAAAACTTGAAGGAAGCCACCAAGAGTAAGGTGACTCCCAGGCTCCCTCTCCTGGCCTTCGTGGCCACCTACTCCTCATTCGGGGTGAGCAGGCCCTGAGCAAACCCATGTCCCGTCTCAAGCAGCAATCAAGGGTGGCTGATTTGGACAGACAATCTCGAACTCATGGCAGTTACCAGCCTGCCCAGGGCACCCCCCCCCACCTACCCCACTCTCCCACTCTGCTTAGGGGTGCAGGAGTGGAGGGGGGATGCAGAAAGCAAGCAGAAAGCTTCTTGCCCTCCTTGCAAGTCTGAAGCATTGAGGACTGGGTCAAACATGAATTTCCAGCAACTGATAGGGAGAGGATTCCTTCAGGTGACCCTGCTCACTTTCCTCCTCACCACATCCTGGCCAGCCCTGTGACCTTGTGACCTTGAGGGACAGCATCCACATGGCCTAAACCAAAAAATATAGGCCCAGAAATGGACTGACAAGTAAGGACAAAACATCTCTAATCTGGCACGACCCTGGAGAACCTGGACACTGATCACTTTATCTGCAGTCAGACACGCACACGCACACACATACACGCACAGCCAGCAGACAAATGGTACACAGGCTGATGTCATCACTCTTCGTAACAATGGAGACACTGCCAAACAAGACCTGAAAATGCCATTTTCCCTTCAAGTCTCTCTGCTGGAATATTTATGATGCACCCTCCCATTTTCATCCTTGTGATTCCTCTATTTGACCATGAACTCTGACCCTGACAACAAAAACAAAAGAATAAATAAATAGAGTTTCTGGAATAAAGAAGGAAGATAAAGTCAATCAGACCCCTTTCTCATGTTCCTCTAAAAATTAATAAATTAAGCACCAACATTCTGAAACAAGTGCTGTGTGCCTTTTGAGAGGATTCGCATATCCATTGGTCAGCTGGGTTTTAACATTTTCAGGCGCATATCATTATCCCTATTTATATCAGTTAGGGATCTTAGTCAAACATCAGAACTCCAGGTAGCTTAAGTAGCAAAGGCATTTATTAAAGGAGATTAAGTGTCTTGCAGAATCGCCACAAGGCCAAAGAGTCAGGTGTGCAGGGTCACCAAGAACAGTTGTACAGGTTGTGTACTGCACAATAACACTTTTGAAAGGATGCTAGTCAAACCTTTGACAGATTTGCATATTTTTAAATATATACTAGACATGTATACCATAGCACTTTTCCAGCAGATGGCAGTAAAGTGTATAGAAGGGGTACCCTTGTCAAACTTGCACAAAGTGCATGGCCTGGAAGGTAGGAAGCCAGAATAACCCCAAACCACATTGTGTCAGATGCTCCAGCAGAGATTGGATTGCTACTAGGTGGAAACCCCACCGCTCACCCCACTCACACCCGGGCCTGAGACACTGAGACTCTGCCCTGTGGACCACTCTCTACCACTACTCTCCCCAGAAAACAGATTCCATCCACCTGGACTTCTTGTACTGCTCTCTGCGACCTGACATCTTGTCCCGGTGCATCTGATAGAAGAGCTCCAGCTCCATGCCTTGGCCTCATTGCAAGCTAACTGGGAAAGTCAGCTTCTGGCTTCTTCCTTGAGAAGGAAAGATTCATGACATGGAGGACGGTTCCAAAAATGTCGGGTGGCCTTACAGCATGTCACATAGCCATACAGTGCACATCCATAAGCATATCCATACCCTCATTTGCAGATGAGGGACCCAAAGCTCCCAGCAACAGAGCTGTGAGGACAGGGCCGCAGGGTGAGCTCTGGCAGGGTCAGGGTAGAGCCTGGGCCTGCTGACTCCTGGCCACTGCGCTGCACTGTCCCCTTAGAAATGGGGGACCAGAATGAGGCAAGGACCACCGGGCATCAAAGTCTCTTTGGACGAAGCTCATCCTGGCAGTTTTCCTCCTGCCCCCTGCCCACAACAGCTCTGGTCAGCATTCATTCACAGCTGCCCCTGCCCCGAGCCCATGAGACGTTCAAAATTGGCTTCCCAAACAGTACGGTTCATCGGCATGGACGGCCTTTGTCCCCTCCTCCTCCCAGCAGACACAGCCGTCAGCTTTCTCATCTAGTCGGGGGCCCAGGGCTTTAACCCCCACCTCACCACCATTGCTGAGAAGCCAGCTCCGTGCTGAGCCTCTCACATCAAAATGAGGTTTTCTCATTTACTCGACGTAGCAGAGCCGGAGTGTGTGTGTTAATGAAAACGTTTTTTTTTATTTTGCCATTCCAACATCACTTTTCTAGGAGCCACACTCTGAGATGCAAATGTGCATTTTCATTTCCTGATGGCTGGGATGTCCCATGTAGGTGGGCCTTTGTGGGAGAGGAGGTGCAGTGTTGACGGAGGT